CAGGGGCGGTAGGTCCCCCGGCAGCCGATTGCCAAGGCTGGAATCACCAGCAGCAAAACCAGAAGTGCATTTCTGCTGGGACTTCTGGTTTCGCAGCTGGCGCTTCCAGGGGGTGCCCAGCCAATATCAGTGGGTGCACATGCAGCCACGTGTACCAGCTATGCATCACCAATGGACAATAGTAGAAAAGATGATGTGTTTTAGTGCTTCTGTGGATAGAATATACCCTGGCTGGGTGTCTTTGGCAAATGGGAATGTACCCTGTAAGGTAGAAGGAAGAGATATGTACCCTGGAGAAGAATCTCGACAGTGTAAAAAAGATATTGATATTTAAGTGTGAAAAAGGGGCTAGGTGTTATGAAAGAGGAATGCAAGGAAACTGCCAAATGATACCTCATACTGTTGGAAACCTGATGCATTTCACTGTAGTTATAAAATTTTTTAATTCAATCGACCCAAAAAGAAACTAAATTTGCATTGCTTTTATCAGAATCAATGTAGCTTGGCTCCAAATATTGAAAATGCACTTGAAGCTTAGTCTGAACAGTGAAGTGGACTTATCTGAATGCGTGAATCGGTACTGATACCAATGACAGCATCATCAAACCAAAACTTTCTCTAATCACCTCAGACACTGCTACTAAAGACCCACAACAATGAATACCAGATATGTATATACATAAGAAAGACTTACATCTTAATTTGTCCATGATCTTTCCTCCACAAAGAGTCGCCAAAGCCATTTTGACAGCAAAAACAGAAATTTTACCATGTCCTTCCCTGTTCAACAATAAAAAGTTTTTATGTGGTATTATCTAAACAGCACCATTATACATTTTAACCCTATGACATATTATGCAAAGTGCACAATCCTTTAAGCTCAGTCTTTGGTTTCTTTAGGGAGAACACACAATGAAAAACTGTCTTCTATAATTTTCACAGACCTTCTTAGAACTTTAATACTAAGCTGCTGGAACAATTTTATCATATTGGTCAGCACATTATGCACTGAGATAATGATGATTACTGGTACTATAGGACTAAATAAAGGCTGCAATCAACCTAAGGGCTCAGTATGCTTGGTTTGTTATATACAGAGACTTCCTGTCCCAGAAGAAGGAAAACAGGGAATGGCTAAGGATCATGTGGTTGCACAGATTAGCTATTGTACACCATCCACCTTTTCTATATATATAGATCTCATGAACTCCTAGAAAGCATTTCATTTAAAAATGATCAGTAAGGGCTCTAATATAAAACCCACTGGAGTCAACAGGAGTCCATTTGTTTTCAGTGCACTTTGGATCAGCCCTATTCTGACACAACCTAATTAAAAAAAAAATCTTACTTTTAAATGTCTCCTTTTGGCCCAGTGCACATTTACCATACTGCAGCACTCACTAATGGTAAACATAGTTTCATTAGTACCACACGAACATGCAGAACTATCCCCTCTTCCCTGGTGGAGTAACAGCACAACACATTTGTTCTATGGAGGAGTTAAGACTCTAGCTATATTTACTTTCAAACAATTCTATTAAACACACAAACACATAAGAGCATATCAGGTACAGGAAAAAAGGTGCAAAAGTTTTCCTACATATCCAGTCATGTCTCAGTTAAATGATAAGGATTTTTTTCTTCCTGGAAGAAACATAGTTGTTTATTTGTAGGGTCTGTATACAATGTGCATCTTAATGTGTTGATCTTTTTACTCAACCATGCCAAAGAAATCAATGGCAAAAACTAGCTGCTTCAGTTCCATACCAAAGTCCTGCAGACCCTCAATGATTGTCTATTGTACAGAAACCTTGGTACAGTATATTACAGCTGCTTGGTTAGCATATTCCATCCTCATTATAAGGTTCTATGCTTTAATTTCTAAAAATAAATTATCTTGGTGTGTAAAAAAACCCAATCAAAAACACCTTAGTAGAAGGCTATCACACACAGCAACATGAATATGCTACAATAGATAATTCCATTAAAAAAGTAGCAACATACCATGTAAAGATCCCCTGGTTTTGCATTAACTTTTTTTGGTAGCAAGATTTTAAAATTTTGAGTTTGTCAATTCCCCAGCATTTCCTTGCAAGACAGTTAACGCACAAAATCAAACTGGAGCAACATTTATCTATTATCCAAAATCTGTGGTATTGTTCCCATGTCTTCCCTAAATTATAGCACAGGCAAGATGTTCACATCAACATCACAAAAAAGTTCTTGGTTCGATGTCAGCCAATACTCTCCAGTCTTATGAAGTAACAAACTCACTTTACCTTCTGCCTATGGGACTAATAGGAGTGCATATGCATTACACAATATTAGGGTGGTTAAACTATGCCATAAACTCTTCTGTCTTTATTCCATCACAGGACACCTGTTGTATAAGGATTTATAAGTGATAGAAGTGTCACTTTCCAAGGTACTTTAAACTGAAGTAATAATAGCCAGGAAACAAGATATGAAAATTTAATGTGCAGTCCACATATACAGAATCGCTCCATTGCTAGTCAATCATCATTTTAATAATCAATCATCCTTTTAATGGAGAAAATTGCATTTCCCAGAACAAAGAGATAACCTAATTTTCTAAGACGTAGTCCCATGATCCCTTTGCTAAGCACCAAAGCAAAGTAAGATGTGCATAATATTCATGCAGAATTAAGAAATGAAGTTATGTGATTCACTGCTATGATGACTTCAGAGTTTACAGAGTGAGAGCCTTTTGGCATTTCCTAACTAAACAAGCATTACAGCTCAGTCAACAAAATTCCCTGTTTGTTCCATTTGAAACATTGGAGATTCTACCTTACTGCAATACTTCTAAGCTTGCTTAAACTATTTTTCTTTGCCAAAAAATGAAATAGAGCAGACAAAAAAAAATTAACTGCTGCAGCAGTTAAGAACATAAGGATACATAAATAGCAGTCATTGATAATACAGTTTTTTTGGTCCATATTATCTTTTTCATTTTTGTCTCTGTTTTCTTTGTTAAACCTCAGAAGATTAAAAACATATGATAAAGCACTATGTACCATTCCCATGGTTCCACACTTGGCGCACGTGTACTCACACTGGGCCAGATTGTTCACTGGTCTAAATTAATGAAACTCCATGGTCTATATATCAGCTAAAAATCTGGCTCAGTGTTTCTATTCTGTCATCCTCCTTTTTGCGCATCACTTCAGAGTCCTTTGTCAATTTTTCTATACACAGTCTTTTGGATCAACATACTTGCCTGCTTTTCAAATACCTGTTCAATGTAAGAAAAATAAATGGTAAGTGGAAACAACTGCATTCTTAACTGGTAATGAAGGAATTTGATGAAGATAAGCCTTGTTGGAAATGCTCTAGAGTTGGCTATTTTTTTCTAAGTTGTTTTGGTTTTATTTAGTTAGACGATCATATTTCTGAATGGGGGACATGTTAACTTGCCTTCAGCTTTCCACCCCAGAGCCAGAAGCTTTTCCTACTCTTGAATAATTATGGGAGCAGGAGAGATGGAAAGGGAATGTGTTAGTTACATTTAAATTGCGAATCTCTCAGTCTGAATTGATTGGTTTTGACACACTATTTTGTATCAGTAATTTGTATTCATAAATACATAACAAGAGTTAGTGTAAATTCAATTTGCCCACCAAAATTTATACATATGCATGACTGATGACTGGACAGGATAATGGGGTCTAGGACTTTCCAGTGTCCCTAGGGCCCAGAAATGCTTCAAGCAGTTCTGCTCAGCAATAAAGCTCCTCTCTATTAGCAACATTAAGGCCTCCTGAGGAAAGTGCAACTGCATAAGAGCAAGTAGCCCAGCCACTGGATGATACCAGCATGTAGTTATATATTGAACTTGGTGCTCCTTGAGTGACGGTTTAAAAAGATCTCCCCAACTTATACTGCATGACTTATAGTGTTGCTAGGAAAAGAAGACACCAGAAAAGATTTTGATTTAATACTTTTCATATTGAAGAAGTTACAGAACAGGACCATCAGGTTTCTGCCTTCATTAGGGTTATCTGAGAAGTTCTACTTGCCCCATGTGCATCTATTTCCAAGAGACTCTGTGCAGGGTGGGACGGAGGAGGGCTGTTGCAAGAGTGGGCACTCCTGCCTGCTTCAGGCTTATCAGATAACCCTAATGGAGACTGAAGTACACACGTGTGCCGCAACCCTTGCCAGTTTGCTTGTGCGCTTGGCATATAGGCATACTGATACAAAATACAGTGTCAAAACCAATCAATTCAGACTGAGAGATTCGCAATTTAAATGTAACATATTCCCCATTCACCTCCCCTGCTCCCATAATATTCAAGTGTAGGAAAAGCCTCTGGCTCTGGGGTGGAAAGCTGACGGCAAGTTGACATGTTCACCATTCAGAAATATGATCCTCTAGCTAAAATAAACCAAAACAACTTAGAAAAAATAGCCAACTCTACAGCATTTCCAACAGGGCTTATCTTCATTTAATTCCTTCATTACCAATTAAGAATGCAGTTGTTTCTACTTACTATTTATTTTTCTTACATTGAATAGGTATTTTAAAAGCAGATGAGTTACACCCATTCGTGAACCACTGAGGTAAGCTGAGGCAGCACCAAATTAGAAAAGTTGTGGAGGGAGGCCTTGAGTCTAAAAAAGTTGAGAACCACTGGCATAGACCAATATAGCAGCTCCTGTAGCAATAGCATTCATATGCACATATGCGTGCACATGTGCACTCACAGCCCATAGAAAATACAGTATCGGCCAAAGCACCAGAGTAATTCCATACTGTTTCAAGGAAAAAAATCCCATATCTTTTTAAACAGGCATCTTTGCAGAGCATAAGGTTCTCTCTTTAAATGTCTGAACAAGACATATAAGACACTGCCTGATAGTAAGAGGATCATGTGATATTAAGTGCACAACGCTTCTGGGTTCACTACACACACATACACACAAACCAGCAACACCTAGTGTGGGGTATTTAGCATTAAATTTGTCTCCGTGAATAATAATGAATTAAAAAACCTCCAAATTTTTATAAGAATGACAAACACAATAACAAATAATAAATGAATGAAAACCTTACTAAGAAAACACCAGCAGCAGCAGGGAAGGGAGGGGAGCAGAGACTGCAGGGGAGAGCGAGGGGGAGGGAAGAGGGCAAAGTGGTGGTGAGAAGGTAAGGGCAGAGCTTGCTGGGGGCAGGTAACATGGGCAAACGCACTGTGACGGGAAAAGCTGCAGGGGGCAAATGTGATTGGGGGACAAGAGCTGGGGGCATCCCAAGCCAGCTGCCTCCTGGCTGCCCACTGCAGTGATGGTGGGGATGAATTTAAGACAAGCCTTCAAAGGAAACAACAAAATTTATAAATTTTCTCTCTACAGAACCTAATTATTGGAGGGGGGAAGGGATCATGAATTCAATGCTTCTCTGGCCGAGGGAAATTCACCCCAATTCCCTTCAACTCCTTCAGTTCTGAGGCACTGGACAGGTTTATTACCTTATAGCTAGCAGGAGCCAAAACTCACCCAGCCCTGATCAGTCAGTGTTTTCAAAAAGACACTCCGTTTCAGACACTGTTTCAGTCTATCAGACTCTGCTCCTGTTCACAGGGAGTTTTCTCAAAACACTTCCCTCCCGGCCTGATTCACACACTCCAACCTACAGATCTATCCAGCTATAACCAGGTTGAAAATGCCATAAGGGAAAATGTAATGAAGAAAACAAAAGAAAAGCAAGCCTAGCATCTGCTGTGTGGTTTGGAAAGGCAGCATATTTATCCTATTAGATTGACACATAGAAAAACTGATTTTATAGTTGACTAGACATGAAGCATAGGCTATTTTTATTAAGCTGTAGCATCACTTTCAAAGGGAATAGAATTTCTTCAGATGTTTATGGGGTTCCTTAAAATCTTAATTGTGGCAGTAAACTCTGAACTGTCAGGGGCTATAATTAAGAGTTTCTATTCTCACAGATGTAGTTTAATAAGGAAATTAATTGGAATCAAGCAGAGCTCTTTCATTCTGTGCAGCAACACATGTAATGGCTAAATCTCTGAACTGCACTTTTTGCAAATTCTCTTCCTTTTAATGCTTACCTGGACTGTGCACCTAGCATCAATTAGCAGAAGTTGAGGGGGCAGGGAATTTAATATTTTACAGCTATGACAGCAGTCAGGTGAAAACCTCCCCTCAGAACATATGCTAAGCTTCTTTACAGGCTGTCTCCAGTAAGAGTCTAGTGTATATTTGGTCAGAGGTTTTAAGCTTTCACTCTGCCATTCAAAAATGAAGCCCTACCAGTTAGATTTTGTACAGTCTGGAGGCAGAAATTTCGTTCATAATATAGACTCCCAATAGGTAGTTAAGCAAACTACAACCTCCTTGCCAATGCAGCTATGTACAGAAACATCTCAATTTCAAATGGAATAAGTAAAGAGGTGGATAGCTTGCAACATATTCCACATTATGACAATGAAGATTTTTTAAGAAGTACTGTGCTGGATTAGACCACCATTCCCTCTAGGCTGGTATCAAGTCCCTGACAAAAGTATGTGGTAAACTGTTCAGCGGGAAAGTTTGAAGTCAGCATCATGTTGTATAGCAATCTAGTAGACTGATGCAGGTGCAGGCATCACTTCATGACTTCAGCTCATGACTTTGAGCAAAATAATTGACCAATATTCATGCAGGATCTCAGTAATTACAAGAGCACATTAGCCATGCATTAGTCCAGCTCTTTGAATGTCTGATCTTCATCCTCTATTTATTGTTCTCTCATTTTCCTAAGCTCCTCTATCACATGATGGTGAATTGCACACACTGACTGGACACTGAATGGAACTGCATTTTTCTTTAGGTGTTTTAATTCTGTTGACTTTTAATTTCATACTTCCCTCTTGTTTCTGTGTTATGACAAGGGGTGGCGTCAACCTGCTTTCATGTGACATTCTACACACTTTTGTATTTTCCCCTTTTTTTACTACTTTCAGAACTAAGCACAGATACCCTTGGTTATCTGAAAGTCCCAGGAAACCCACAAAATCTTGTAAAATGTAGTACTTGTAAAATCAAGTTTGTGCAGAAAGTTTTAAATCTGCTCCTTCCCGCCCTTCAAAGCTTTCTGCACAATTTTCCATTGTTGCCAGGCTTGCCCCCAGCTGAATGGCCATAAGAGCAGGTGTAAATGCCTATTAGACTAAGTTATATCAATCAGAGTCATCTAGAATAGAGCTGTCCAACTTCTGAATGGCTGGGAGTTGCAAGCTGTACCGCGTGGCCTCTCTCCTCCCATGCAGCACAGGCCTCTACAGCATGCTGCATCATACTACAGGTTCCCACCCCCACCCCTTTCTTCCTTCAACACTGTGCTGCATTGCATGGGCCTTCCTGCACTGCACAGGGGTTTGGAGCTTCCCAGGCCATGGGCTCCCTGAGATCCCAAAGGCAGAAGCAGGAAGTAAAGGCTGGGGGAGGGTGTGAGAACCCAGAGACTTTGATGGCAGCAAAACGAGTAATAGGGAGAGGACACCTAGACCAGGAGCTCAGGGGCTGTGAGTTAACCTCTCATGGGCCAGATGTAGCCTGTGGGCTGCCAGCTAGAAAGCCCTCCTCCAGAAGAAACAGCTATACGCTAGCTCCAGACACTCCAGACAACAGAGGAAGCTGCTCTGCTTTCAAAAGCTCTGGCTGGGGTTGGGAGATCTGCAGCCCAGATTCCTAGTAGGGTACAACTTAAAGACTCATAATCTGTGAGGTACCTATATCAATGGGGTTATAAATGTAACAGCTTAGTGTCCTGGAGTTTAAACCCCGGATACATTTGAGACTACTGTTAGTCTTTGCTTGTATGAAAGTCTCACCCCACATACACCTCTAATCTGTTCTATTCCCCTTTTCATTGCGTTAACCTCTGTCTGTCTTCCATGAAATGAACATAACTGAATGCCCATTTTGGGCTACCTTCAGCAATGAAGGTTCAGACCCCTGAAACCTGTCTGCCCAAGAACAGACCACTGAACTGCCTTTTGTCACAGAGGACCTGGTTCTTATTTACACCAAGACCATGTTGCATGGAGTGCTATGGCACTGAAAGACGGGTGGCTGGATTTTTGAAAGGACACTGCCAAGTAGACAGAACTGAACACAAATTCAAACTCCTTACACAAATTTACACATCATCAAATTAATCGGAGACTAAGGACAGTGGGCAGTATCTTCCATTATAGGAGTAAAAGACAGGTAAAAGAGATGTCATACTTAAAACAAGCTCTATATCTGTTTTTCACCACTGAACTTGCTGCCACTGCTTGTTAGGAGAAATTCATTCTCATTTTTGTGTCAACCCCCAGAATGCTCTCAGCACAGCGGAGCCAGTGCAATTCTCTTTGGAAGGGGAATAGAGTGAGTAAGTGCGGGGATGAGCTTCCCCTGCTTGCCTGCTTGAGAGCCCCTCCTCCAAGTGTTGACTTGGAGGGGGAGACTGATGGATTTACTTTCTTATGGATCCACAGGGCATTTCCACATCCAGTGCCTTTGGGAAATAACATACTGTTAGGTCCTACATCAGGCAGTTCAGTTTCAGCACAGGAGTTAGAAGTGGAAGGGCTAATCTGAAGCCCGAGTAAGGATTTTTTTCTTGAAACCCTCTAATTCACTCCCTAGGAGAACTTCATTTGGATCAGTGCCATCTGTAGGGAAGGTGGAAGCTCTGCCTTTTAAGTATATTTAGTCTCACCATTTAAAAACAGAGGAGTAAATACTTTGCCTCCATTTTCCTGTGTGATCCTGAGATGTATGGCTGGTATCTTTACCCAGCTAAAGCACTAAAACAAACACACTGTCATAGCTCTCGCTCCCACAGCCCTTGGGCTTTCTCTGTGCTTTCAACGGGACTGCAGTTTACTTGCAGCACACACCAGTGCACATGTTCGGGCATCTTCGTTTTCCTCCATTTCCTATCACAGTCACAAATTCAGGGTTTTGCATAAATTAAAATGCCCTGTTTTACTGCCTTCCAAAGGAAAAAAATAATCCTGAAGGCTACAGTTTCACAATCCACTGACTATTTTTCCCTTTGAGGGGGCAGGAAGGAAGGCTGGATGCAGGCACACAATGCCTCTGCAGCTTTGTCATGTGGAACCACTGCCTTTTCCCCCAGCTGTTGCCATGGTGACTAAGCTCGGGCTCTGAAAAGGGGCACAATACTGAGCACCAAGTCCATCTTGTGTGAGTATGGGATGAGGGGTGGTGGGGAGGGAGACATTTTAATGCTTCTCAAACAAACAATATTTTCAGCTTGTGCATTTTCAGAATACAAACAGTAAAAAGGTAATAGGTAATTTGCTTCTGTCAAACTAAAAGGCTGTTCTCAATTATCCTGTTTTGAGATTTCAAGCTATTCAGATGCTTTTAAGAACAGCACTAACATGCTGATGTTTGTGGATCCAATAAACATAATATATGCACATAGTGGACACAGTACACTTGCATCTATAATATTAAAGTAGGAATCAATCTCCATCTTGAGCTCGCCCTTCTTACACTTAGTTAGGGCAATAAATGGTCTAGGAAGTAATGAACAGGAATTTTATTGCCACTTCTAGATCCTTATCCTATATCTGCCATGGTCTTATAACAGGCTGTATTAGAGCCAGGAAACAGGCACAAGTCAGGAAAAAATGCTCATAGCTGCAAGAACTTGAAGCAAAATGAGTTCTCTCAAAATAAGGAATTACTAACCCATGTCACTACCATAGAAACATAGCAAAGGGTTCAGGTCTCTGACATGCCAACATATAACAATGCAAGTTAAGAAGGGAAGTTACAATATTTTAGGAATAGTCCCATTCCTATATAAGCTCCTGGAGTAAGTTAGGAATAACCTTGTTGATGACATCAGAGTTATTCTGGATTCAACTGATTATAATTGAGAACAGAACCAAGATCCTTTATTCTAGTTTCCCTCGACATACTGGCACCAGTTAATCATTCATTATTTTGAGCAGGAATTTAAGTTAGCTCATCTGTTTTTCAGAGCTGCGTGAGAAAGGGGCAAAAATTGATCAGAATACATAGAGAAGCTTATATGGATGATAAAGGGAAACTTACGGATCAAAGGCTGCTAGCAGGAAGTTGAGCAGTAAGCTGATGGATTGCTCCACATTGATCTGGTGAGTGGTTGGCATCCGTTTGTTGAGCTGGTAGAAAATAGTTGAAAGCACGGCTTCCAGACGAGCCACATTCAGTTCTAAGCTTGGGTCCAGGTTATTCAATGAATTTTCTCGCAAGGCTTCTATAACGTTCCAAATGTCCACCAGATGCACTATGCACAATTGGAGAACAGCCATCAAATATAAATAATATTCCCCATCAGTCATTGAAAAAATAAATCAACTGTGCTATGGTAGGTTGACAAAGTCCATTCAGGTCAGATGGTATTTTTATATATTAATAAATCTACTGTATTTTCCCCATCATTAGTGTTTAAACTACTCAGGAGAACAGTGGGGGTAGGGGAAGGAAAAAGCCTAAATATGCTGATAACAAATAATAAGCAAACTGATATTAATGAGAGAGATCCAGTCACAAGAGATCAACAGTAGTTGTGAATATGGCTATAATTCACGAAAGTATTACGTATTCGTGAAAATACTTCATCAGATGCTTAAGTTTCTTTAAATGGATGTGACTTAAGCATGTTCCTAATTTTCGTCCTGAAACACACCTATATGACTAACAGCTTGGACATTCTTATTTAATGTATGTAGTAGGTCTAATTTTCAAAAGCTCCTAAGAAAGCTACATGCAACTAGCAATGACTTTCAAACTTACACACTTTGGAAAATCCTACTGAGCAGTTTGTGTCAGAATGAGAGCGTTTCATAAAACCAGAATGTATTATTATTGAGTCTGGCACACTAAGTTACAATTTTGAAAAAAAAGATCTGTAGTAATGATTAACACAGATTTCATTCTTTTAAATACACTTGTGAAATGTTTTGTAAAATCTTTTCTTCCTTTTTAAGTTCCTGCCCAAACGGAATTTTAGCTTAAAAGGAAGTAGCTTAAAAGGAAAAATGAAAACCCCTATGCATCTTAATTTTACTGTGGCAATATTACCAGATAACTACAAATCAAAATTTCCCGTCTAAAACTCGTAGATCATTCCAAATGGAAGAAAATTGCTCCAGCTTAAAAATCTAGATTTATCTGAATTATCTGGTTGTTTTTCCTAAACCTGAATAACATTTATCCCTACTGAACTGCTTCTATTTCATAAATCACATTCAGTAAAACTACATGGTCATAATACAGATTGTTTTTATTATAGTGGTAACATTGTTATATGGCTCTTATATTGCAACCTGAGAATTTTTTTGTACACATCTTAAAACATGTCATATCTGCACATAGAAAATGAAGTCTATTGTTATAGATATAGAAATATTGCTTCAGTTCTTCCAATCACAATTAATCACATGTCAGACACCAGTATGTTGACAGCATCTCAAGTGGCAGCATAGAAAATGACCACAGCAAGTTCACAGCTAGTCTCTGGAACAATGTTTCTATTCAAACTTTCTGGCTTGTATGAAATGGATAATGGTACTGGGTGGATAAGTGAAACTGAATATACTAGCCTATTTTACATTTTATTACATTATATTTCCCTGTCTGTGGATTAACAGCAGCAGAACCCATTTTATGTATTGGATGCATACGCTTTTCTGGGAAAGGCTGCATGATGCAGTTCCATGCTTGGAGCAATTTGAAATCTTAGGTCTCTGTTTTAAAAGGAAACCCCTATAGGTGACCTTGGACACCTTCACCAGCCTAGTTGAAGTGTCCTCCTACACCCAACTAGATAGAGGACACAGTCAGATGTTCATTATTTTTTCTGCTCCTGTTACCTATTCTCCAACTGGAGGAGGGGTGTCACTCCTTTAGAAGTGTTGGAGTGGAGCTCAAATTCATTTTCTGTAGATTTCCTAGTGCTAGCAAACCCTCTTGACTTCCAGAAACTCACAACAATAAGGTAAACAGGGATTAAAGGAAGCTACATAAATTCAAATGAAAGCGTCTTTAAACAGATAGCACATCTCCAGGAATAAAGTGAATCTAAATAATTAACCCAGTAGTCAGAGACAGATTGGGGACCATACAATGTAGCAGAAGTTAGGCTGGCTCAGGGTCAAGGAGAGATGAATCAAGAAGTACTTTTTGCTCACTGATGGAAGGGCAAGTAACAGGTTGGTGAACGATGGGGATAATGGGCTTAATTCAGGTTGCATCACCTTAACTGGAAGGTAAGCGTAGTCAAAAGACAGCAAACCCAAGTGTGTAGCTTTAGCATAGTTCCATGGTCTAGTTCTACACAACTAGTCTATGGAATGGAATGATGGTCCAGCTCTCAAGGTAGTACAGACTAAATGGCTGGACCAAGCAAGTTCTTCTCCAGCAATTCAACTAGTTGGGTTTCAGGAATTCTTTCCACCCAAGCAATTTAGCTTTGATTAGTGCATGCTAGTGCCAAAATACTAGATATATAAGGAATGAGGGATAATACCTGAGAAGAGGGAAAGAGGCTAAAGTGAGGCTTAGAATGTTATATTTTGTGTGAGCTAGGCCTCCTATTTTAGGTGCTGGGGGAATACTTTTCATGAATTTTTCCTTTTCCCACTGTATTATTCATTATGTAGTAATATACCAGTATTTGTATTCAATTACTAGGAAGGGAGATGTTCAAAAGCTAGTAGACCTGTGACTAATTAGCAGCACCTTAACACATTTAAAAGATGGGATAATGCTACCGTTGAATCTGAAAGTCTCTCGTACCTCTTGTGTTCCTCAGTATGTCACAGAACATACCACAAAGCTAAGAAAAAACTTTATGTCAAAGGATACAATGACTTATTTTATTGGCAAAAACCCCCTCTCCTTGGAAAATGTCATGCATTTGTACTATAAGTATTTATTTGTGTATGTTTTCAGAAATATTTTGGTTCACCTTGAAGCTGTCTCAACAAACTTCCTATTCCATAGTTATGTTTTGATGTTTATCTGTGGGCCTCCAGGTGCTTTACTGGGATTGAAAAGTATTATTTCGCCTATTTTACACAAGGAAATTGTAGCCCAGGGATGCTAAAATGAACATTTTCACAGGTGTCTACTCAAATCTTGCAGACTCTAGAATATGGTGCACTTCTGAAAACATTAACTAGGTGACTTGTTCAAAGAGTTGAGAATAGAACCTAGTTCTCCCAGTCCTAATCTAAGCCATTCAATCCTGTGCTTCAGTCTTAAGAAGGGCCATTTGATCTCTTCAACAAGAATCTACTACGGCCTTCAATAATTTAGGAACAACTATAAGAACTTGGCATAACTGGGTAAAAACGGCCTGGTCTTGCACCAAGGAATTAATACTGACCCTACTGACCAAATAGATTCCCGGTCCACCTCAATTTTCTTGGTAATAGGTAGTTAGCCCTGTGAGACTGAAGTCAGAGAGAAGGTGGGGCAACACAGCACTTTAGAGATTAATTCATTCTGAGAAGCATAAGTTTATGTAGGTGACAGCCTACTTTGTCAGGTGCTATGAACACTAGACTTGCAGAGAGCAGAGGCACTAAAATAGAAAGGAAAAATGTAATTTACATACAAAGGATATGGAGAGGTGGAAAAAAGGACAGGGGAGGGTACAGCTGAGAGAAGCGAAGGTGGAAAGAGATCAAAAGTGATAAAGCAATTAACCCACTGAAGGACACGGGTTATAAAAGCTAGTCCACGTAGTGGGATAAGAATCTGGAGTCTCTGTTAAGACTATACTTAATGTAAACCAATCTGTGGAGAATTTCTTGTTTTGCAATTTCATGTTCAAGTTGGCTTTTAATGCTACGCTGTTTAAGAACAGGTACTCTGAAGGCAGTGATGGACTCCCATTTCCTGTTTGTACACTACCTAACCTAAGAATACCTTAATATTCATTGGTGCTTTGAGCACTACCATAAAAACTAGAAGCATGTATAACAAGAGCTCAGAGATGCATAGGAGCTGTTCTAGATCTAACATCTGCACTAGTTAAGTAATCAAATGGGAAAGGAGTCTGCTTTTCTACATGTGTTTTCCTCTGGGTTTGTGGCCACCACACTTTTCTTGGAAAAGGCAGACCTCACTTGATTTCATGCATGAATTTGCTGCATGTGCCTAAAAGAATATATAAACAATAGAAATCCATCAATGTATTTTCTATATTCTGGAAAGATCATTAGGTATTCAGGAAGAAACTTTATCTAGCATTTGGACAGTACATTGTTTTATACAAAGCATATGGACCATGCATTTTCCAGAGACCTTTCACAAAAAACAGCCAACACATTGAAATGCCTACACTTTGATGAACCAGATCATTCCTCATTTGTCAAATCTACCATCAGTGGCCAAATTATGTCATCCTTGGATTTTCTGTTATGCTGCTTTCTAGTCAATGACTAACTTAAACATCAGTGCTACAAGATCCTCTCTGAAAACTACTATCTTCTTATTTTAACTTTCACAAGATTAAGTATTTAAACACCATCAGAGAGTTCCATGTATCAGCAGACTTTCCGAGCAATAAGAAATGTGGACTGTAAACAACACTCAAAACAACAAAACAAAAAATTCACTTGGCCAGGGCAGGAATAAGCAAAGGGACAGCCATATGATGACTATTTTCACTTCTATGCCACAGTAGCTAACAGAAATTCTGTTTATCTTCATGCCATACTGATTCCAGTAACCCTTACATTTTGAAGGAAGGCACTGGCTGAATACCAGAGAATTACAAGTAAATACACTACAAATTACATTTCAAACAGGGTAGTAGGTTGGGGTGTTGGTATAGCCAGGACAGATCAGGAAATGTCAGAGACGGAAGAAGTTTTTTAGGTTTGTTTGGTGATACCGTTTATTGGACAAGCTGTATTGTTGGGAGAGATGTGGGACAAACTTTCTTGGAGAGAGTGCTCCTCTTCAGAGTTTTATGCCTGAAAGCTTGCTCAGCATCACTGCCAACTAGACAGGCAGTCCAATGAAACAATCACAGAAAAAACACCCTTGATTCTTGTACATTTCAAATAATAAAATACTTGTTCCTGATCCATACCCCAGACCTTGTCACAACAGTGTAAGGGGAACAGTTTTTTTCCCAACCTTTATTCATGTCAACAGGCACGCTAAAGATAATGAGGCTACTTGCCTAAGTGTAGGATAGTAGCATAGGACCCAGGGTCTTTGGTGAGTAATAAAAAACCCCACCATGTCCCAGTGCAAATACTCTAATAT